TGTGGGCGGCCATGTACTCATCGGAGATAGGCGCGTGGAGGGCGCCAGTCATGCTCAACAATGTCCCTGATGTGGCCTACAGCCGTGGTCCTCTCACTGGAGACGAAATCTACTTTGCACTTCGGGAGGCTCCTACAATTGTCAAGTATGACTGGGCCAATAATTTACTATCTGTGGTTAAGCCCCAACCACCTAGATTTTTTTAACACTTTTTTAAACTAATTTTAAATCTAACATTGTTTTTTTTTCTTTCCAAAACTAACACTTTTAGCCGCCTCTATTTCACTGGCGCGATGAAACACTTGTGCCGCGCCATGCACGGTGGCACGGCGAGGGGGACGACGTGACGACGACCGGAGCGCTGACCGGTGACGTGGCAGGTTCTGCCACGCCACCGATCTTAGCGCGGCAGTGCCGCGCCATAGTCCACGGCGCGACAGGACCAGGTAAATATCGCCCGCAAGCCGTCCTCCCTCTATCTGCCTGCCCGCCGCCGCGCACGCCCGCCCGCCGGCAGCGCCCGCCGCCGCTCCCGCCGCGCCACGCACGCCGGCGCGCCACTCCTGTCGCGCCACGAACACCGGCGCGCCACGGCCGCGGTCCGCCCGCTGCGCCCGCACGCCGGCGCGCCACCCCTCCGGCCGCCCGCCGCGCCCTCCGGCCACGCACATAGGTATTTTTCACAAATTCAGCAAGGTTTTGTAAAATTCATATATGTATTTGTTAGGTATATCAACAGTCTCGTGTGCAATGAATTCTACGTGTATGTTTCGTTAAATTTCTTTTGTAAAATATATTCATCACCTTTCTTTTTAGAGTTGACAAAGGAGCTTCTAGTATATATATTATTATCGTGGGGCTATGGTTATCTTTCTTTTTTATCTGTATCTATTTTTATTTTGAAGTTAGCAAAGAAACTTTTAGTATGCTCAGCGGCACGAAACCATGGTTTTGTTTTTCTAAATTGTCCATAGATACGTTCACCCGCCCATAGATATATTCATCCATTTTCGTATAACAGTTAGTAACGAAACCTCTAGCATACTCATTAGCGCGGTCCCGTGAATAGCTTCCTGTATTATCCATATTCGTTTTCATTCTAAAGTTGACAAAGAAGCTTTTAGCGTACTCACTAGCACGGAATCGTGGCTTTAATTTATCTTTTCAAGTTGGGCGTAAATGCTTAAATGTGGGGAGGGAGTGGGGAAAGGCCGTCGCTTCTGGTGAAAGGAAAGCTATATAACAAATGCAGTTATGGCATCTCCCCAATTATAGATTGTGTAAATTATATACTTTAAATCAACAGTGGAATGAAAAAGAAAGGAAAGCTATATAGCAAATACAATTATGACATCTAGTTGTCTTATGTCTGAACAGCTATACATAGAAGTTGCTTATTTTTCTAGTGAAGTTGTCTGTTAATGTCTGTTAATGTTATTTTGAATCTATACATGTGCTTTTCATATTGTGTTCGTATTGCATAACAAGTAGTTCAAATTTTGCAATGCTACATAATGTTAATTTGAATACTCTAACCCTTTGTTTATCAATTTGTAACAGTATGGCCCCTCCCACACAGCACCCGTTGTACCCCCTTCTAGAGGTGGAGTACGACGAGCCGCATCGAGCACACTTCTTGACTGACACCGACGTAGAGGTGCCCTTGCCTCCTTTGAGGCCCCGCACGCACACCAGGGTGCACCAGTAGGACGAGCGTTACGCGCCGTACATATGGCATGCCGGCTTCCTTGAGCTTGTCCGTGTTGTCAAGTACGGTCTTCCGTCCCTTGACCCAGCACTACTTACTGCAGCTGTAGACAGATGCGAGTGTCTTCATTGTACGTAAATATTCTTATAACAAATTTGAGGTAACTAACAGTCGTTCTATTCTTATAACAGGTGGAAGCCTGAGACCCACACGTTCCACCTACCTTACGGCGAGATGACCTTGACCATGCAAGACATGAAGGCTATCTTTGGCCTTCGGTTGAGGGGACTTCCAGTGACAGGTATAGTTGACAACGATTACTGGAGGGAGCCGGTGGCTTAGTTCACTGGCTTTCTTCCACCGGATGATGAGGTTTCCAAGAAAAATAAGTGAGCAATTCAAGCCTATTTAATACTTGCATTGCTTTCCTGCAGCCATCGGGTCTCATTTTGTTTGGTGAATTTCAGGAAAAGTTCTGGTGTTTTGTCGTCGTGGATCATAGAGCGCTTTGATTACTTGGACCCATAGGCTGATGAGGTTCAGATCGACAGGTTCGCTAGAGTGTGGCTCTGGCACTTCCTTGGTGCTTTCCTATTCCTAGACGCCTCGGGCGACACCATCAGCTGGATCTTTCTTGACATACTACGCCAGCCATGGAATAACATAGCGGTGTACAGCTAGGGCAGCGTAGTCCTAATATGGACGTATCAACAGCTATGCGTTGCCTACCGTCGCACCTCAGGGTATGCGAACCTTAGGGGTTGCTCCTACCTACTCCAGGTTTGGTGTTGGGAACGATGGCCCATTGGGAGGCCCTTTGTTACTGGTTTACCGGTAAGTACTTCGGTTCACTGTATTCTTCGAGACTTACATATGATAAAATTATTAATGGCTAATTCATTATCATGTTCAATGCAGCAATAGAACAGGCATGATACACTGCCTACAGCTCTGTATATCTGGACGCAAGCAGAGTTAGTTAGAGGGAATGCGAGGCCCAAGTACAGGGAGTACACGGACTGTCTTGACGTCCTAACACAGCACCAGGTTACGCTCTCTTTACTATCATATATGTGTCTTGTTCGATGTACACTATATCACAACCTAACTCAATTATGAAAAGTTTAGGTGCATTGGTGTCCTTGGGATGCTCCGGAGCTCTAATACTATCTGAATCCTGTCACTAGGGATGAGTCAGACGAGTATCGCTGCTACGTCCCTCTTATTTTCTTCCACGTGGTCGAGATTCACTTGCCCAGGGTTTGTAGGCAGTTTAGAAGAATGACAGGCTACCCACCACCGCTTTACTCCACCAACCAAGAATTGCATGGGTGCGTTATCGATTAATAACAAAGCTACAATTCAGAGGTGTGTATGGTACAACTAACAATCGTTTTGTTGCAGGTATGACCGCAGGAAGAGGTACAAGACCAAGGATTGGCGCGTGACACACAATGCGTACATCCAGTTGTGGCAGAACAGGGACCAGCAGCCGGTCGATGCGGGTCCCCACACGACCAGCACACCTTCGACGAGTACCTACGGTGGCTTCACAGGCCTACGAGGACACATATCAAGCCCCCGTACACTGAGAAGGTGATTGACGAGGATGACGAGGAAGATGTGATCAAAGATGTGTACGACGTTGCCACTAGGGACGACACACAACAACAGAGAGCCTCACTTCAAAGATACATGGTAAGATACTCGAATGGTATAATTTGTTATCCATTTGGTATTAAGTATGTGTACTAAACTGTCCAACCGCGTTTCTATACCCATGCGACACAATTGCCAAGGCTGTCCAACAAAGCAGTGTTTTGCCTTCACGAGTCTAGAGGGCAGGGGTTAGACGTTCTCGAGGCATTTGTGGAGGTAAACATAAACTTGTCCATTCTGAAAATGTTTCTTTAGTGTATATGCGTTTGGGAAATGCACTAACTTTAACGTCTATTTATGCAGAAGGTGAAGAAGAGCTGCAGGAAGCTAGCTCAGAAGCTGAGCTGCATGGACACTCTTTGGGTGGAACCCGATTACCCGGCGCGGTCGGGTGGCACGTCTTCTGGCTCTTTGAGGATACTAGCCGGCTCTTCTCAGCCGGTGACAAGTGCCACTTCTGCAGTGCGTACACCACCATATTATAGCGCTGGAAAGGACCCTGCAAACGAGGACGATGATGACGACGACGACCCCTCGGGCTTTCGCATACAGCACCACCAGTGGGACGATTGGCAGCAGGACGTGATCGGCATGTCTCAGCTAGGTGGTGCCCTGCTTGGTACACAAGGAGCCCCACAGGTAGTAACAAAGGTAGTTTATTTAAATACGTAGGCTCCATGAACTAACGATCATACAGATTATAAGTAATCGTGTATATCATATACTTGCAGGGTACGAGCCGTACGCACCGGCAACGCGACCACACCGACATTGGCTACACTTCCAATGTGTTGCCTATAAATCCAAAGAGACAGAGGCGTCCGAGGGATCCTTACACTCCTGGGACTTAGTTGGTTATGTCGAACTTATGTCGAACAAATATTGTCGTCCGAAACTTATGTCGAACAAATGTTATGTGGCAACTTGTCAACTTGCGCACGGACTCTATTTATTTGCTTCATATTCGTCTCAATGCGTCGCGGCAGCACTGCCGGCGAGATTAACTAGCAACTAGTTCGGGAACCGACAGTCTCGGCATATCTCGCCGCCGGTGGCCGACGTCTTGACCCCGATCCTCCCGAGCTTGGTCATCGCCGCCACGAAATCGCCAAAGAAGGCACTCTGGTTGGACACGTAGTAGTCGACCGTGCTGCGCGACCTCATGTCGGAGTAGAGCACCTGGTCAGAGCCTAGGAGGCCCTTGCCGACCTACAGGTTCCAGTAGAAGGCGTTGTCGAAGAGCACCGGTGAGGGGTCGAGGAAGGCGAAGGCGTTGGGGTCGGAGCTGCAGGTGCCGTTCAGCTGCGAAGCGAAGCCGGGGTCCATGGTCGCGTCGCTGCCGATCCTCACCGACAGCAGTTCCCGTTCAATTGCAATTGAGGCTGGTCTTCTGTCTGCGTCCAGGTCCTGCCGCGCCGTGGGCCTTGGCGCATCAGTGCCGCGCCGTGGTATATGGCACGACAGACCCTGCCACGTCATCGGTCAGCGCCTCGGTCGTCGCCACATCATCCTCCCGCCGCGCCATGGCAATAGGCGCGGTCAAAAGTGTTAGTTTTGAAAAAAAATTAAACAATGTTAGATTTAAAATTAGTTTATAAAAACTGTTAAAAATAAAAAAAAATCACCACCAGCAATGCACGGCGGATTCGCGCTCATGGTGATGGAGGATCATTCTCTGGGCCTTGCTGGCATTGAGGATTCCAGACTTCATCTGTGGTCAAGAAGAGTGAGTTTAGAGGACATTGCAGAATGGATACAATGCAGGGTCATTAATCTGGAGAAAAAGATGCCTATGGCGAACCCTAGTGACTCTGCATCTGTGGTTGGCTTCGCAGAGGGTGTGGGCGTCTTCTTCGTCACCGCAGGTGTTGGATTGTTCATGATGGAGCTCAAGCCAGGGCGAGTGTGGAAGGTTGACAAGCCCTGGGACTTCTCCAATGTCCTACCCTACATGAGCTTCTACACTCCTGGTATTGTACTAACCCTTGCTGATCCTTTGGCCTTCCTTGTCTTTGCAGCTGCAATATATTTGCTTAGTTGGTTCTGGCTTGGTGTAAGCGGTAGAGTCTTACCGTCTGTGACCGAAAGGTCCGGGTTCGAGTAGCGGTCTCATCGCATTGCACAGGCGAGGATAAGGCTTGCCACTAACACCCTTCCCTAGACCCACACAGTGCGGGAGCTCTCTGCACTGGGTATGCGAGGGTAAGACTTGCCACTAACACCCTTCCCCAGACCCGCACAGTGCGGGAGCTCTGCACTGGCTACGCCCCTTTTTTTTTTGGTTCTGGCTTGTGAATGGACTACTAATTGCAATTTAAGCAGAGCAAACAGAATATATGACACTGAAAAGCCAAACTTACTTTTTGCCATGTCATTGTCTTGGTGGCATTGTTAAATACTCATACAAATCTGTCGATCTAGTACTTTCATGCTATCTTGTTTCAGTTTTTTTTAATGGAAATTGACTGTTAATTTCTTGCATATCTTGAAGCATTTATGTGGAGCTTGTTGTAGTTAAATCTTTGAATTATTACTACCACATAGCTCATGAAGTGCAAGTGCTGAGTCGGAAGTTGCTTATGATGTTGTTCATGTCATTTTTTTTCCAGATCGTTTGTTAGGAGGACCCGCTGATCTCTGATGTGCCACATGGAAGTAAGACCTTTCAGAATAGACAATATTGATCCATCATCTTTAGTCTGCTGCTGTTGACTACCAAAGCTGCTACTGTCAATTTTTTTTTCTTTTTCTGTTGAGCAGTTTAAGTAGTTTAAATGGTGCAAAAGATATTATGATATGTTGTGGTTGTAGATGATCCATCATCCTTAGTCTGCTGCTGTTGAGCAGTTTTGGTGTAATGTTCAGGCATGTTTGGTTAATGCGCAATTCAGCTACATGGAACTAAAACTTTCTGTGCTACATGCCATAGTCCTTTCTTGAAAATCAATTTCAGATTCAGTGTTAGTTTCGTGTCTTAAAGATGGTTTGCCAACTAGCAATGTCTGAACTTTGTGAAACAAAAAAAATATAGCAGTGCCTGACCTTTTTATACATACCACTGGAAATACAAAGATTCTAGTAATAATTTAGATTCAGAAGAAAACTTTTGCTGTTTGTGAATAGATAGAAGAATATATGTTAGCAGGTATGGAACTCAGATGCTTTATACTAGTAAAAACTTGCAAAAATTGTATCCCAAAGTGGCATGAGCTGCATTCGTCCTTTTATCTGTGGTCGAGGAAGGTGAATGGTGCAGATTTTTGTATGTTCATTTTGAGCTCAAGTTAGTGTGGATGAGGAAGCTAGACTAGTTTGGGGTATACTACAGCGTATAAGCCCACATCTATATGAGATTGTACACCCTTGGTACCATACTAGCTCTTGATTATCTGTTATCTTGCATCTTACAACTTCTATGTGTTTTCTCAATAAATTGTTTCTGGTTCATGAACAATTATGCATGATGTAATTATTTAATCGCTATTTTCACATATGTATGGATTGCCTAATACTGATTTGTGCCTAAATGATTACAGTGCCTAAGTGTTCACAGTATGCCTAAACATTTAAACTTTTGGATTCCGTATAGTATATACTATATAGCTCATCAAAGTGTATACAGTGATTCGAGCAGTTGGTTATGAATTCTGTCCGCGCGTGGTATCTTTTCAGATTACTGTAGTTTGTCCTTTTTAGCAAAGACTCAATGATACTGTCTGAGCTGCCTCTTGACAGTAAGACCTAGAAAACGGATGAATCATTCATCTTAAGCCTGCTGCTGTTAGTTTCTTTCTAACCTACTACTGTCTTTAAATGTATTTTCTTAAAGCTGTTTAAGCTTGAAGTTTCAAGTTATTGTGATCAATCGTGCTTGTCTTGTTGAGTTATCCTGATCATGTCATTGGTAAACTCGTATCTGAGTTTAATATGATCAAAATTGTACATGAAATTAAAATTACGTGAAATATGTTCTGTTTTCCTTTCAAGAAAAAATAATATATGGTTTCATGTCTCGAAAGAGGTTTAAGTAGCACTTTCAGACATTTTGGGCATACAATTGGGAACACACAAAGATCCTCGAACATGTTAGCTCACAAGATTACCGGCTCACATGAGTGAACCACTCACCAGTCTTTTCGAGCACCCACTAGCTAAGCCAACCATGAACAAGCGTTGTCCGTCCCCACACACTATGGCCAGAGGTTGAAGAAGAGGGAGAATAGAGCATACACACATGGTACAAGACACCAGCATTGGCCGAAGCCCTATATGGGAGATGACAAATCTGAACTCTCTTTACTAAGTTACCGTGGTAGTCTATTTATACAACTCTATCCATCTAGTCCTAGTACAGCGCACATGCTGCAACAGTAACTAGATAACACAGCAGGGCTGACTCTGCGTCGGCCTCTGCATGTGGCTACAGTGCTGCAGGTGAGCCATTCGGCGCCTGCACCTGCAGCGGCTACAGTATCACAGCAGGGAGCCTTTTCAGCGCCGCCTTCCCCTTATTGTGTGTTCACACAAGGAAGCAGTAGATTATTCTAACAATTCTTCTCCTAATCCTACTACTATCCCTTGTACCCCCTCCATACCGATCATCTCCTTCTGCTCCATGAGTCGAAGACGTCTGAGAGGCTTAGTGAGGACGTCCGCGAGTTGCCGACCAGTTTCGACGAAATCGATGACGATCTACCCTCCATCGACACAGTCCTTGAGGAAGTGAAACTTCACGTCGATGTGTTTGCTCCGGTCGTGCAGAACTGGATTCTTCGCGAGGGCGATGGCGGGCTGGTTGTCCACCATCAGTGCTGGTGGGTGAGCTTCCACGCCGGTCAGCTCACCCAGCAGCCGGCATAGCCACATAACTTGACACGCCGCTGTGGCCGCCGCTACGTACTCTGCCTCGCATGTAGACAACGCCACCACCTTCTGTTTCAGCGACAGCCATGAAATTGGGGCCGACCCGAGGAAGACGAGCACGCCAGAGGTGCTCCGTCATCCGTCGATGTCCCCCGCCATGTCTGCATCACTGAACACAGTGAGCTGCAGCCTACTCCCGCTGGTCTTGGTATAGATGATCCCTTGATCCACCGTTCCCTTGACGTAGTGCAGTAGCGGCTTCACCGTAGCCCAGTGATCCTCTCTGGGATCCTCCATGAAGCGACTGACGTAGCCCACGGTGAACGCAATGTCCGACCTCGTGCGGACTAGGTAGCGTAGACCGTCGATGATGCTTCGGTAGAGTGTTGCATCCACCTTCGTCGTGGTGCTGGCCTTTGTCAGCTTCAGCCGCTCCTCCATCGGAGTCACGCATGACTTGCACTCAGCCATGCCGCTCTGCTCCAACAGCTTGGAGGCATACGCGCTCTGACCGAGCGTGAGTTCCTCCTTCCTTTGTCTCACCTCGATGCCAAGGTAGTAGGAGAGTGCGCCAAGATCGCTCATTCAAAAATGAGCCGCCATCTCACGCTTGAAGCTATTGATGTCCTCCGTGCTCGGTTGCGCACCGCTAAAACCCAAGCTCGCCCAGCGTGGCGTCCCATGCTCATGGGGCCTGACACAACCCATAGAGCGCCTTGCGTAGTCGGAGCACCCTGTGCTCCTCTCCCTTGATGGCGAAACTTGGAGGTTGCCTGACGAAGACCGTCTCCGCCAGTTTGCTGTTGAGGAAGGCCGATTTAACATCCAAGTGATGGACGCGCCAGTCCTTTGCTGCTGCCAAGGCTAGTAGCAAATAGACCAACTCCATGCGCGCTACTGGCGCAAAGACTTTCTCAAAGTCGATGCCCTAGCGCTGAACAAAGCCTCGGGCGATGAGGCGTGCCTTGTGCTTGACAATGGTGCCGAGCTTGTCCCGCTTGACCTTGTACACCCACTTCAGGCTGATCGGACGACATCTTGGAGGTGGATCGATGAGCTGCCATGTCTCATTTTCCTCGATCGCCTTCATCTCCTCCAGCATCGCCCGTCACCAGTTTCTGTCCCGTTCGGCTAGCGCAAACGTGGGTGGTTCCTCTGCACTGATGAGCAGCAGCTCTACGTCATTGAGCAGCCTACCCGCCAGTCCTAAGGGCCCTGTGCCGCCGATGATGTCGTCCAGCCTGTGAAACCACACCTCCTCACCTTCGTGGAAGGCATCCACGAACTCAGTGATGTCATCGGGAGGTGAGGCAAACTCGATCGGCGTCGATGGAGTTCCCTATTCCGCCGGAGTGCTCGACACAGCACCTGGAGTGCTTGGCATCCTGGTTGCAGTGCTCAGTACTACTTCTGGACAGCTCGTCACTACTCCTAAAGTGCTCGGCACCACTATAGGAGTGCTCAGCCTCAGTCTTGGAGTGGTTGGCACCACTGCAAGACGTCTTGGCTCCGCCACAGGAGTGCTTGGTACCCGTCCTGGAGTGGTCGCAACCACTGTAGAATCTCTCGGCGCCACTCCTGGCGTGCTCGGCATCCCTCCATGAGTGCTCGGCACTCCTCCCTAAGTGCTCGGCATCCCTCCCAAAGTGCTTGGCACTGCCCCAGGAGTGCTCGGCTTTATTGCTAGAGTGCTCGGCACCCCTTCCGAAGTGCTCGGCACCTCTTCCCCAGCGTCTCCACCACCGTGGATGACCAGGTGCTCGACGACGAAGGTGCTGGTGAAGCCGCCAGCTTCCCTCGTGCTCGGACTGCTCCAGTCCCAAGCTGCCTTCTCGTCGAACACGACATCGCGCGAGACAAGCACCTTGTCTCCGCGTGGGTCATAGAGCAGGTACGCCTTGGTACCCTCCACATAGCTCAGGAACACCATTGGTGTGCTCCTGTTCTCTAGCTTGGTGAGGTTCGGCTTCGTCTTCCTGACGTGGCCGATGCAGCCGAATGTCCAGAGGAACGACACGCTCGGCTTCCTCCCATACCAAGCTTCGAACGGCATCTTGCCCGTTAGGCCCTTGGTCGGAGCGCGGTTGAGGATGAACACTGCCGTGGTCACCACCTCACCGCAGAAACCTTGCCGGCATGCCTTTGACCTTCATCATGGATCAGGCCATGCCGACCACCGTCTGGTTCCATCGCTCCACCACGCCATTCTGTTGTGGCGAGTACGGCGCGGTGTGGTGTCGCACCACACCCTAATCCGCGCAGTATGCAGCGTACTCCACCGAAGTGAATTCGAAATCACGATCAGTTCTCAGCATGCGGAGCTTCTTGCCGCTCTCGGCCTCCACGTGCATCTTGAACTTCTTGATCGCCGCCGCCGCTTCGTCCTTGCTCGTCAGGAGTTGCAGCCACATGTAGCGACTGCAATCATCCACGACCAGGAGGAAGTACCGCCGACCACCGTTTGTAGCTGGCGTGATCGGCACGCAGAGGTCACCGTGGACGAGCTCGAGAGTGTCCTTCGTGCGATACTTGGCCTTCTTTGGGAATGGTAACCTCCTCTGCTTCCCGGCCAGGCAGCTATCACACAGCTTGCCTCCGTGCTTAATGTGGGGTAGCCCTCGGACCATCTTCTCCAGCTGACCAAGCACGTCAAAGCTGAGATGTCCGAACCGGGCATGCCACATCCATGGTTCCTCGGTGTGCCTTGTTACCAGGCACACCGACTGCTCTACCTTTAGGTCAAGCAGGTACAACCGGTTCAGGGACCTCTTCACCTTG